GGTAAAAATCGGTAGAAAATCAGATGCCCGATCTTTCACTGATTTTATTCCGAACTGTCCTTTTTCGACTAGTGATATATATTACCGCAGATTACTACACCCGATCACCTACCCCAAAACATATATCGAAACGGGTATATAACTCCCATTTTTCTTATATATTATTACTGAAGTTATATACCCCGAGCACATACTATCAAAATGGGTATATAACTCCCATTTTTCTTATAATATATTTCCGAACTTATATACCCAAAGTATTTACTAATCGAGATCGCAATTCTCTTCATTCATCTCACTAAAACTCAATGCATCTTTTTTGATACCACTGTGTACTGACCGAAAAAATTAATTTAAACTTTTCCAAACTATTTTGAAATAATATAATAGAACAAAGATTGATACATACAAATAAAAAATGAGCAAACAAAACGCACAAGTGATCGGGTACGGGGCGGGGAAACTTTAGCTGGGATTCCAACTCGCAATGATATCATTTCGAAATGTGATAATAGGTTAACGGCTATACTTCAACAAAGCTTATCCGATAAACAGCCTATATTCTTCATGCCTAATGATGTGAGTGATGCCACTGAATATGTAAATAATATACAGACATATATTCTACGTATTTATGGCGCTTTGATTGATGGGCAAAAAGCTAGGGTGGATATTACAGGTATCAAACCTTTCTTCGATGTCGCTGTGCCTGATAGCGAACCTTTATCTGTATTCAAATCAAGATTGGTGAAAATTATATCGGGGACAGAAAAAATTGACAAATCAAAGTTTGGAATGAATATTGTCTATGCATACCCAATTCGTGGTTATCATACCGAGAAAAAGATGTATATTCGTATCATTACATGGAATCATTATGATAGGACACGAATTTTAAAAGAAGTTCGTAAGCATGACATTGAGACAGCATCAGATGATATTACCAACGTGCATTATTACCGAAAAGTAGCTCGTGAAAAAAAGTTACCTCTTTCTGAGAGAGCGATACTAAGTGACTATAACTATATTTCTGATACAAATTCACCACATTATTCCCATTATTTTCGCATATCTGTAGATAACTATCAGTCTTTAGAAGAGAATAAACTAAATGGTCGAACAGTTCCTGAAGCTCCTTTATATGATCGCACACTTGTTCTTACATGGGATATAGAAACATACAGTGGCCGTAAAATGGGAGATGTACCTAATGCGAGAAATAATGAGGATCGAGTGTTTATGATCTGTATAACAGTTCATTGGAAAGATGATCCAAAACCATTAAAGCAAATATGTTTAGTTGACGTAGAAATAGAACCAGACCCCAGATGGATTACAGTAATATGTGGGAATCAGACCAACCTACTGAAGGCGTTTGCATTATGTTGGAAAAATTTAACTCCAGATATACAAATAGGTTTTAATGATTCGCAATATGATTGGGTTTTTATTATAGAAAAATCTAAAAGTTTAGGTATACTTGAATGGATGTTTAATCATATGTCACCCGAGCCATCCAACATTGAAGAAGTCTTAAAATATAGATATCGGAAAAGTGAGATAAAGATATCTGATGAGAAATTCTATTCGAAATATCTCAAAATTCCAGGATGTGTACCTATTGATGTTCGTGCTTGCTTCAAAAAAATATATTCAAAATCAGAGGCAAGTTCACTTAAATATTATCTGGATATTTGTGGGATGGGTAGTAAGGCTGATATGTCGATAGCTACTATGAACAGAATATATGAAGATGCAATACTCCACCCTTCTGATACTTCAGCTAAAAATATGTGCGAAATTGCAAATTATTGTAATATAGACGCATTGCGATGCCAAGAGCTTATGGTTAAGCATAATGTAATTAATGATTATCGGGAGGTATCATCTATTGCGTATGTTTCTCTTTTCGATGCTCATTATTTTGCAGGAGGTATGAAGGTATGTAATCTTTTGGGATCTGAAGCTTGGAGTCGTAATATATTATGTAGTATGATTTCTCGTGAAAATACAGAAAGTAGTAAGTTCCCGGGAGCTTATGTCTTCACGCCGATAAAAGGTCTAGAAAACAAACGTCCAGTAACTGGGTTAGATTTTGCGTCTCTGTATCCAAGTCTTATTATGGCTTATAATCTTTCACCTGATAAGATCATACTATCCCGTAAAGAAGCTATAGATGCACTTCGTAGTGGAAAGAAACTTCACAGGATTGAGTTCCCATTTAATGGTCAAACTTTAGAAGCTTGGTCCGTTCGCCATAATAATATATCTGAAGAAAAAGGACTCTACGCTAGTGTATTGGAAAAATTGCGTAATAAATGAAATGAGATGAAAGAACGTCTCCGTGAATTGGATGAGAAAAGTTTCGAATACACTTGTATTAATTCCAAACAAAATGCATTTAAGATATATATGAATACATTTTATGGTGAGGCGGGTAATAATATCTCTCCATTCTATCTACTTGAACTAGCAGGTGGAGTCACTTCAGCTGGACAGCGTAATATTAAATTTGTTGCAGATCTTGTTCAAAAACTAGGATTCAAGATTAAATATGGGGATACCGATTCCTTATATCTTGTATGTCCAGAAGAGTATTTCCAAGAATACGATATATTTTATAATAATGGGAATGGAATCCAAAAAGAAGAATATTGGCGTCTAATGGTAAAAAAGACTATAGAAATAATAACCAAGCTTCGTGATGAAGTAAATGCTGAGCTCGAAAAGGATAACGGAACACCTTACCTTAAAATGGCATATGAGGAGGTCCTATTTCCCGTAGTGTTTACAGGAAAGAAAAAATATTATGATCTTGAACATAAAAAAGAGCCAAATTTTAATCCAGGTAAACTTTTCATTAAAGGGGTAGACGTTGTAAAAAGAGGTCAATCTAAGCTCTTCCGTGATGTAGGTAAGGAAATTATGAATAGAACTTTGAAAGTCGGTAATGAGGAGACGATACACCAGATTGTTGAAAAAGTTCTTTGGGAAAATGTGGAAAAGCTTTCCAAGTTAAATTATGATGGATTCATTCAGACATGTATATGGAGGCCTAAAAAAGAAAGTAAGCGGGGAAATATTCCTGTAGAACGGTTTGTTTCGCGAATTGGGGGCTAAGTATTCTCGTGAAGTATTGGAAAATCAACAGCTTATAAAGAAGGGTTTACCCGCTAACGAATACCTATATAAAGTCCCCAAACCCGGTGAACGAATTAGTTACATTGTAGTAGTACCTGAGGAGATTTATGATAACTGCGGGAAAAAAATACCACAACAAAAAGGAGACTGTATGGAATACCCAGATGTGGTAAAAAAGTTCAACAAGAAAATAAATATTGATTATTATATCGAAAGTCTATTTGGTCTCTGTGCCCGTTTTATAAATTATGATGATAAATATCAACCATCACCTGAATCCCTCTCAAAAGTCTTGGATCGTAAAAAGAAATCCAAGGAGAAGAAATTAAAAATTGCTAAGGATTTATATTTACGTAGTAAATGCCCATATGGCCTGCAGAGCAATGACTCTCCGAGTCTAGATGAAGATGAAATAGCGAAAATTAAAGATGAAGAGTCACAGAAGTCGGCTAAAAAATGGCTCAAAAATTATATCAAAGATTTACGTGATACACCGAAAAAAGATGGAGCCATTATCTCCCATTTATGGAAAAATGCTACTACACATGCTGAAAAAATATGTTCTAGTATTAGCAAAGTTGGCATAACCAGGCCTTTAGGTGCCTCTACTTGGTGTAATGGCTATCTTAATGCATTAGATAAAATTGCAGACTCCATTCGTTTGAAATTATCAGATCTACTTTTAGAATTGTCTAAGCTTAATGTAGAATATAGAAATGAGTTATATAAATTAATTATGAAGTCACAAAAATGCAAGACCAATGTTACGATTTTGGAAGAGTATATACTTCGATATAACCTGGAGTCAGAATGTGAAGCATTAACAGAATTCCGAAATACATGGTACAAAGCAATTGGTCTTGAGATTGCACGTGTTCAAGCGGTGTCAATCATGCAGAGTAGTAAAAAAGATGACTCATCCGAAGCGGATATTGATGAGATTATCGACCTATATTGTTAAGTAATCTTAGTTAGAATTGCCACACCCTAATAAGATACTTATATATTATTAATAATATTTTTTCGTACATAAAAAATATCCAAGTTTAAATAGATAATTCCTAATACCTAGCCCACATATTCCGCAACTGCTTATTTTTCCTCTCCATTCCCCGTGTAGGTCTCAATACCACAAACCACATAACCGCGATAATTAACAGAATAAGAAAAATATATGCCGATAGCGGTGACAACAAAGTGCTTGCTATAGCAGGGACTGCTCCTATTCCTCCTATCGGAAGGGGCAAAGCCTCGGGACCAGGCCTCATCTGAGAATTCGATTCAATTAAAGCGGACATATTATTATCCGGTTGTATAAGGTGCGGAGTCACATTTTTTATTTCTTGAGATTGGGGTGTAATATCCTCACTAATTTCGCTAATGCTAGTTTCATCACTTATCTTGGGATTAAACTCTGTATCAATTTTTGGTAGTTTGGTAATCTCATCATTAGCGGAGCAGTTATCGAAGATAACAGTTTGTGTCGAGATATCATTATCAATTTTTTCAGCTTGATTCATACTTTTTCCGTGCACAAAATACTTACTTAGATTTTTGCTAGATTCATTAGACACGTAAGTGTCATGACCCTTTAGGGTCGCCCCTTCGGGCCTGCTTTGCAGTACTGCAGATATATCGTCAGACTTGGTTATGGAACTTTGTTCATCGCTCTGCATATTTTTTTCGACATCTCCACCAACGA